CTTTCTTTCTTTCTTTCTTTCTTTCTTTCTTTCTTTCTTTCTTTCTTCTTTCTTTCTTTCTTTCTTTCTTTCTTTCATTTCTTTCTTTCTTTCTTTCTTTCTTTCTTTATTTATTTTGTCAAGCATTAGCGTTAGCAAAAATGCCTAAAAATCACAGGTTAAACTACCCTTTAAGAGCCTCATCCTCTTCTTCGGGAAATTTCTGAGCCAAGAAATTTTTATATTTCTTGTCTCCAATCTGTCGAATACTGAATCATGTCTCATAAATCACTGATCCTTTCTAATCTCTCTGGCTTAATTTATCTGCCATGCTTACTCTTGTTTCTCCTTGGGTCACATAAATCCTCACTGAGTTTGGGAAAGTCTTCCTGAATTTGTTCAGGCTTTGACATCTGTCTACCCTTAACCCATCACTCATTCCAAATACATATCACAGGAAAAAAAAGCACCAAAAATGATTATTAAGAGTTTATGGGAATAAGCCAATAACATACCATTTGTTTACTGCTTTGAAGAGCATTCCACAAATAAAATAGACATTAAATAGAGGCTTCAACCAAAAATGTAACTAAAATTACTTATTTCAGTCAGGGGACGTGTCTTGGCTTTGCCCTGCTTTTCATATTATGGCATTTTAGATATTTTGTCCTTATTTGGCTGTCTTTGCTCAAAGAATCTCAGTAAAGAGCCCTCGCCTTCATTTGTACCCCTAACAAATTTTCCTCTTCTTAGTGCTGTACTTAAATTATTTTCAAGCCTTGCAAAAAAAAAAAAAAAATTCACCAAGCATTTTGCATGGATAAATTGCAACCTCAAAAAACCTAGAACAAAACCTTCCAGATTTAATCGGACTTCCTTATAAAGAGACATATAAGGATCCCATCGTGTTAGTGGGATTCAATTCAATGCTACCATCAGAACACAGTACGGCTTGGTTAGAAGGAAAGTGAGATCAGCGTATCTTTGCTTTCCCTACATATTACAGAGGGTTTTTTTTAACCCTCTCATCGTCAAAGTCCCTTAACTAGGCAGTAGATTCTCTCTTCAATTATTGTGTAGGGACTGAAAAATCAGATGTGGTGCACTGAATAGTTTCAAAATCAGCTGATTATGTGCTATCAAGTTGATGCTGATTGTTAGCAATGACATAGATCTTCCTCCATGATAATCTATTCCTAAACTGGTCCTTCAAGTCTTCTAATGGTGCCCCTATCACCTCTAAATCCATCCACCTTCCTGCTGGCCATCCTCTTCTCTTTTCTTCCATGAGAGTTGGATTTTTACATTGATTGATTGATGGATCAGTCGATTATGTCTCATTCAGTTGATGCTATTAGTGGCTGCAAAGGTTTTCACCGCTGTGACATTGTTTTAACTGTTGGTTGTACGTCATCCAGAGTCACATTCAGTGAGACAGGGGATCGTCTAAATTTATGAAATAAATAAACAGTGCTCTCCAGTGGATTCTATCCCCGATTTGTTCTTCTGATTCTTCCAACTGTAAATCCAACCCCTTGCTGTTGTTGCTCTCTTATTCTTTTTCCTTCCTCTTTGCCAGCATTTTGATATATGCCTCAGGTAGCAAATTTGGGGTTACTCTTAAAAAAACCAGAAATTCCCAACATAAATTAATTGGGCACTATTTGATTTTGCCTAAGGGAATAGTGAGGTTATGAAGAAGACCAAGTGAAGCCAACGGGGCAATAGAAATTAAGTGGGGAGGGTTAAATAAAAAGGAAAAAACAATGACTGTTCTCTAAAAAGAAGGGAAAACCTACCACAAAAGTCCTCTTCCTTTCACTAAACATCCACTGGAGGTCTCCACAACTCCATGCAGTTGGGAAGGTCTCCATGAACTGGGCATGTGTACGTTTAAGTGTCATTTTCATCCATTTATATTTATATAAACTTTCCCCACAGTTTATGGGAAGGAAGTGGATCCACCCAGCCATTTGCTCAATTCCATTCAATCAGTTTTTGTATTTATTCCTCCTGATAAGCATTCCATACGAATGTGGTTTTATTAGGTGGCTGTGATTAGGTGACCAAGACAAGCAGATACACCATCTCATGGCAACGTACCAATAGAAACAAATCTTCAAAGGAAAATGGAACCAAGATTTCACCCACAAACACACCATTCTCCAAATCAAAAGCTGGGAACCCTTGCTTCGCTCCTGGGGAACTCTCAATATCACAACTGAAGACCATGGGAAATCAAGAGGAAATGAATCAAGAAGGTCTGACTCTAATTTTTGCATGAAAACTCTGGGGTTCAGTTGTATAGATCTATCTCATTGGAAGTTTCACGCTATCTTCCAGGAGGCCCACAATGGTTAAAAGAATAACTATTCTTATCCCCTCCATTAACTTGTCTTTGAGAAGTTGGATGGCCTTGTTCATGAAGATGTCATCTATGGCCACCAGTTGACATCGATAGACCTGCCTCTTCTATGAATTTGTCTAACTCTCAAAGATGCTGGTGAACATGACAT